ATTTACTCAATTGATCAGTTAAACATGTCTGATTCATTCACAACTCAATAGCACTCGCTCAGAAGCTGCAACATCATTTTCTATCATTTTCTTTTTATTGTCTATAATGTAGATTACTCAGTATTAACTTGTCACACTTGAAATCGTACTGTCAGAACTCTCACTTGTTTGTTTGCTTGCTTAAATATGATAAACCTTAAAGCCTATCATTTACCTGGTTCATTATCATTTTAATAATTCAGATACATTGCTTTGAACATATTTTGAACACAGGTTATGCATTTCCTTCTGAAAAGAGGAGCCGATGCTACACTGTGTAACAGTAGCAATCAGACAGCTCTTCATGTTAGTCAACCAGCACTCCAGGGGGAGCTGTTGACGGCTATGATCAGAGACGTACCCCATCAGAAGCAGCTCTCACTAGCAGCCTGGAGGGGAGACCTCTGCTGTCTACAGGACCTGATGGTGAGCAGCTCAGACTTCAACTTCCACTTGCCATTTGACTGTTAGTAATGCGATATCAACCTTAGGTTCACACAAAGCAGGCTAGACTCCATAGTGAGTTCTCTGATGGATCAGTATTAGCCACCTGTCATGTGAGAGTGAGATATTTTTACACTCACCTCAGGCAATGGCTGGAGTAATTACAACAAATAAAGTTTATGTTGTTTGTGTGTTACAGGCCCAGGCAGACTTGTTGGAGTTAAATAAACAGAACAGAGATGGACTGACCCCACTGATGCTGGCTGTAAGGGATGTGGATCTGTTTGAAGGATTTGAGACGCCATGGGAATATCAACCTGTGGAAGTGGTGAAGGAACTTATGTCTTTTCCAGTGTAAGGAAACAAATTTTCAACTTAATTTTGTCAATCCCTTCCTGAATTTGCAATGGAAATGCAAAATATAAACAACAAATAGAAATGCAAAGTATTTGAAATATGTAGAATTGTGAACAGTAAAACGGAATTTAAGATGAATGGTGATTTGATCGACCTCTCTAAA